CAGTCATGACAATTTAGGAGACAAATCCTATGCAGCCACATTGAAGAAAAATCTCAGGGAAGGAAAAATAAAGGGAAGATTATTAAATTGAAAAACCAACTAGACAAGAACATCAAGAAATGGCCAGTGGAGGGAACTGCCTTCTTCAATGGTAAGTCTTCCCCTAAAAAAAAATTACTTTTGCTTAAACATACAGACCAATAACAGAAAAAGTCTCGCAAGCCCCACACTCTACTGCCCCACTCCCAAATCATCTCCCTCACAGAAAAAGAAGTTATCTTCTTCCTCACCATCCAAACCTTTATTATCTAAATCTCCATGTTAACCACCACCAGCATCCCCTCCATATCCATCCCTTATTACCACACCCTCCCAAGCAGATACCACAGACATCTAAAAAAAGACCATATCTACCTGCTTGTTCTTTACTGTTCTTCCACTACCATCTGCCAGTTTATCTAGTGAGAGCTTTATTTTGTTTTGTCTTTCTTAATTTTTTGTCTTATTTTATTTTTCTACACTTTCCCTAACCTATTTTTCTTCACCAGCTAACTTGCTTTTCTATTATCAGTGGTGAGGGTCCCATACTAACACCTTTTTCTTTGTGTATTTTTCATCCTTGTAATGGGTTTTTTATTTTCATTATTATGTAAATTAATATCATGTATATTTTTTATCCACATATGGGGCATTAGGTTAGGATTCCATGAAAAGATTGCATTGTTTTGGTGATTGTGGTGTAATGGGAGTGTTTGGAAGAAAGATTTATTCTCTCATTTGTATTTCTTCTATTATGGACATTATTATATCTTTGATATAATAACACCATAGTTCATGAAAAGGACCCAGGATGGAACAGAATGGCTGAAAGGAAAAGGAATGACAAACACACTTTGTTCTCAGAGAGAATTTTATATTACTAAGACATGTGCAAAACTATATACAAATATATACATGAGAAACTGTCAAACCAAGTATATTCAATAGTAAACAAGGAAAATATACAAGCAACTTGACAAGTGTGTCATTCCGTTGTAGAACAAAAAAATTACACAATCAAATGCAAAAGAAGCTTGCAAGGTTCTCTCCAATGTGACTGATGTAAACTCTCTAGGCAGATCTAACACTTTCACCCCAGCCCCTCAACCTCTGGCGTCTTACTGTCTGGGTTGAGGTGTCTACTCGGTCCTAACCAAACTTAAGAGAGTGGCCGTAGGTCCCCTGATCATTTGTAGATTATTTGACCGGTCCACTGGTTTAATCCTGCCTCCTGCCCATGTTGTGTTTGTTTGGTTTGATCCAGAAAGCAGAAGTGATGTTCATCCATTCACGGTTGACTGAAGATGTAGGATGTAGACACGGCTAGAGAGTCTGCACTAAGAAATATAGAATGCAGCAAAAAAAAAAATTAATATCTGCAAAAAGCCGAACAAACAACTATTCAATGATTGAATTGTTAATGCCTTTTATATAGCAGAAAAGAATAGTATAGAAAAGAAACAGGTTATAGAAAAGAAAAGTAATTGACATCGAAACGCATACACTGGATTCTGGACAGAGTGAGAGTGTGTTATGATTAACTTGTTGTTAAATCATCTCAGAATGATATACGACTCTTTTGATGAGGGAATAAGATTTCTGTGCATGGCTTAAAGTTTATGGTGGCGTTCCTCCTTAGCAGTAGTAACAGTAGTAGTAATATTCATGGTAGCAGAAGCAGTGGTACTTATATCAACAGTACATGTTAGCGGATGCTTCGTTCCAATCTCTGACGTCCCTTTCTCTCCTTCTTGAGTCTCCAACTTGACTCTCCACTGTCTCTAGCCCAACTCTTGCCCGGGTTAATTCTCTTCTGTTTCTCTCTTCCATCTGTTTCTTCCGTCTCTTTCGTCTGCTTCTTTTTCAGCATAACTACCCGTTTATATAGAAAAATCCGGCTGGCTGCTACTTCGCACGTGATTATCATGGGGTTTTGGCTGTTTCAACCAAATTCATGTGAATTCTAAAGGTCCTCCTTGCTTACTCAGCTCTATTCCAAGTTTTAATCAATAAAAAATTATTTCAACCATTTCCATTGTCTGCTAATGACCCAGTTCCAATGGGTACAGCTCCTGCCCTAGATAAGATTTCCCATTAGTAAACAAAATGCTCTGATCAATTTCGCTAGTCCAAATCTACTCCAATTTCACTAAAAAAAAATATACGTGTATGTGTGTGTGTTTCCCAGACTCTCTCTGTCACACAGATAAGAAGTGAATTTTTCAGGTACTGTCTGAGTGGCTTGCCCCAGGCAGATAAGAACTAATTAACTAGAAATTGTTGGAGTATATATCAAACCAAATAGTTCAGTCCATTTTCAGCTCTTACAGACCTCCTATTGAAATCTAATGAGTTGAAGGAGTAATAGTTAACTAGAGCATAAGGTTCAAACCACTGCAAAGGCAGTTGGTATTCATTATGACAATGGACGATATGGTAAAGAGCATTCCAAAGATGTCCCAGCTGAAATAACTTGTGGTATACGAACTCTTTCAGGATCAGTTTCACCTCCATCTTTATGTATTACCTCCTGTTCTTATGGAGACAATCAAATGAGCATGCATATTCACTCTGCAACAGCAAACATTCCTTAGTTCATTCAAAGTGGCACTAACCAAAGGAAGGTAAACATGGACACATACTAAAATGTTTAAAGAGATTGCAAAGGTGATTACTACTACCATGGAAGGAACTACAACATTCTACACAAAGGATGCGGTAAACTGAAATAGTTGAGACCAGAGCATGGAAGTGGAATTTATTAGATTGGGAGTGGACAGCAAATTTGGCTGAAGTATTCGTGATAAATGCTATCACAAAGATTTAAACCAGTTCCTTCAATTTCAGCATCAGTTATGCCATGACTAACAGAGATCTAATCAAATCAACGGTAAGTGTTATAGAATAAAAGTATAATAAACATATAAAATGTGTGTCTGATGTGTAACTAGGAAGACTACACTTAAAAGGAATAATAATCAAGAAACTATTCATATACTCATAAGGAAAGGTTTTTGAAATCATTTCCTAGTCACCTGATCCCAATGATTTACATTATATTCCAACAATTGGACTCCTTCATGTTCTTGATATTGTTTCCAGAATATTTTAAGTAATCTTGTCTTTAGGTAGATAATCCATAAAAATAAATGAAAAAAAGACTCTTCTCAAAGCTATAGAAAATCTCTTTACATTATACCCATAGATCTGTTGTTGATAATTATATTCTTTAAACATCTGAGATTTTATTCTGCTTTATCATCAGAACTTTCATTCTTATGAGTGAACTGAATTGATATATCTTCAATATTAATGAAAATAGCTTATACACAAAATCTTGTATCTGTATACAGAGGGCATAAAGATAAAATTAAATTACACACACGAACATTGGTAAAATCACTTCCTTTTCACATGCATATCTGTTCTTTATTCATTATATAAAATTCTTATCTTTATCTTTTAAGAGTATAACTTATAATAATATAACTTAGTTTAGGTTTGCAATAGCTAATCTGAGTTTGAAAGTGATTCTCAGAAATTTGCCAAATTTCAAGAAGAAATGGTAACCACACATTTATCAAATACAAGTTTACAATTTCTTTGTTATTTATTGGCATGCTCTTTTTGTAATTCATGTTTCTGTAAGGATATGTAAATATAAGAGTGTGATCATTTGTATATGAATAAGAGACACTATATAAACTTGAGTAGTCATGTGGGGGGACAGATTTGGTGGGTAACAAATGAGAGTAATTTGTATAAACTACTTTTATACATAATGACAATGGTGTCACCAATAGGATGCCTATTAACCCTAGAGGACCCTGATTTTGTGGACACATTGTTGTGGTGCATTGATGGGAAGACAAATTAGAGCTCCCCTAATGATGTTGTATTCTTTAACTGAAGGAATATGTTTTGAAAAAGTAAGGAGCCAGTTCCAGAGAAGGGAAATTTTCTAATGCAATAAAGTCATAATACAACCATAATAGAAAAACAAGGGTGCTGTATGCTAATCATGCAGATCAAATAAGGTCCCATGATGATGATGATGTAGAAATGGATGAACAAATGTCAAAGGAAATACAGAATAATGATCATAATGAAAATAATCAGGATAATGGAAGCAGATGAAAATGGCAGGGAGGATCTAGATCTTCAAAACAGTTATACACGTTCTAACAGATCAATTAAAAGTAGGTAGCCATGAATATAAAAAACCACAAGACAGATTAAGCTCTCTTAGATAGAAATATGATAAGGTCTATGAAAGGAGAAGGAAAAATAGAAAATCACAAAAATGGAACAGAGAATAGTAGTAGTAAAAGATCAACCAAGGACATAAAACTCTCTGATGTAAGAATATGTAAATGTAAGAATTTGGTCATTTGCACTCTACATAAGCTCAAGTAGTCATGAGATGGGACAGATTTAGTGAGCAGCCAATGTGAGTGAGTTGCAAATACTACTACAGATCATAACAATTCCCAATTTCCAGCCTGTCAGTGTACGTATGTGTGTATTTATATATACATATATATTAAAGACTTTTTTATGTTTAACATTCTTTTTATAGATACAAGTATTTAAGTAAATGCTCTGTTTATAATAAACAGTATTAAATAACATTTACCGGCCTGAATGTCCGAGAAATTTTCATAGAAAATATTCGTCCTTTGACAGGATTCGAACCTGCATCCTATACGGAACCGTCATTTACGCTGATGTGCCTTAACCGACTCAGCCACAAAGGAGCGTTCAGTAGGCAAGGTTGAATTTACTGCTTATAAACTTCAATCTTATGAATGTACAAGATTCATGGAAGAATATTGGAGGAATTTGTGTGATACTAAAATTAAATAATGATGAAAAGGTCTTTTGCAATTTGCAAATATTTGAAAGTTGATTCAATAAAGCTTTTTAGACTTAGACTATGAAGAGTAAAGATTTTCACTTACCCATGTACCAGTGCCACATGGAAATTCTTGGAGGCCAAGGTTGCCTAGTAGTTTCTTAAATGCATCAAATGCTGTCACACATTCTGTTTCACTTTCAGACATGTTTGTTTTTTAAGAAATACCCAACACCTGAAAATGAACAAAGAATAAACATGATAAAATCTTAAATTGTGGTTGACAATAATTTTAACTTCCTGTAAAAAAAAAAAAAAAATACAAACCATCTCCAGATATATTTGTAAGCAACTTTCATATACTGCTATTGGACATATACTTAATGTAATATCTCCAAAATCAGTTGTATCCATTTTTCTAGTATGCTTATGTAATAAATGTCTAAAATTGCCACCATGCCATATGGATTCTGAAGAAAAAGTTAGAAATTCAGTGGCTGAATAAACTGCATTTAATTTTAAAGAGTGAGAGCCATCAATGTTCTAGTACCATTATTTCTGCAGCAAGAATTCTATATTTCAAATACTGCATTACCTCCTTTAGATTTCTTTACCTAGCCTTATAATCTAATCACATTTTTAAAGTGTCCTGTTCAGGTTTGCATCAGATTCTTCATGGTTTTCAATAAATCTTGCTATATAAAGCTTTCAAGAAACTTGGCACTTGTCTTGATGGATATGAGAGAATGCATGTGGACAGAAACTGTTGCAATAAGTAAATACACACATTTTTTTCTATATCTATGAATCTGATTGGCTTTTATCACAGAATTTCAAATATATCCATTAATTTTTAGTGGATTAATTAGTTGTTAGAGTAAATAACGTATAATATTAAATTCCATTTCTTATTAATTATGTTGCTAGACTTTTCTAATTGAAGAAAGTAATTCTGGACGTTTCTATTTTTATTTTTAATCATTTCATTTTGTCTTACAAATAAGAAATTTTATAAATTTTATTTCATTGAAAAATGTGCTATAAAGAAAGTAATCGAAGTGGTGTGTAAGTCGTATTTGGAAATTTCGGGCCCTACAAGCGACGATACCTCTTGAAATTGTGCTCAATAAAAAAAAAGTCAAGAAAACGACATAAAAATGAAGTTGGGGACGCAAAAATCTTAATTTGTGACCTTTTAAGTTTTATGCCAGACTAAAAAGTAAATTTAGTTATTGGAGTAACAAACAAAAAAAGACAAACTTTTAGCATAAAAATAAAAAAAGTAAATTTAGTAGAAAAAAAATAAAAGTAGTAGAAAATGGAGTAATAAAAAACAAACAAAAAAAAAAGACAAACTTTTAGCATATTTACATAATCTTTTTTGTTTCGTGCTGTAAACCTCAAATTGTAAATTATTGTTGTCGGCTGAATAAAGTAGAAACGTAACCCCCGAAGATACAAGCGACAGTCGCCATTTATGATTACTAAACACAGTTGCTATAGAAACCTGGAACGCACCAAAACAAACCGACATTCATCAATTCACAATTGAATTAGTGATTTACTTGTACTTTTTACTTTGATTTGCATATTTCTGTCACACCTGGTTCTTACTGGTTTCGCTCTTAGTCTTAAAGAATCAATGAAAAAGGAAGAAAAACGTTAACAGTTTTTTTCTATTGTTTTCTATTGTAGTAACTACTGTGTATAAAAAATATTTTTATAACAACCCTCTCACTCCCAAATGGATTTAAAAAAATTAATGTTTGCATTCTATCAATCTCAGTTTTTGTGCCAGTTTCATTTTCTGGCATAACAAAATGAAGTGAGTTTGTCATTTACACTGTTGACTAAGAATTATTACAGCAAACGGGGGGGATGATTTAAAGAATTTTTAAAGTAAAAAAAAAAAGAAAAGAAATAAAACTTTCAGACCTGTCAAACCTAAAAATAAAATCTGGAAATTTCGATCTCTAGCTTCAAAAAATCAGAAAGATTTCTTTTTTCCCCAAAACAGGAAGAAACAAGGATTTATCATTTCAAAAACATCCTCCTAAAAATTATTATCTCTGAAGAAACATCATTGTTTGAATTCACAACAGTTATTTCAAAAGGAGCAACATAGGGCTGTAGTTTATGTTAAATTTTCATTTTAACACCCGAGCGTCATTTACTTTCAGAAATTAGTACGCGCTTCCGTAAAGCGATTTTTTGTACTTAATTTAAGAAAGTTAACTTTCAAATATATGTAAACATTGACAAATGAAAGAATAACAAAAGAAAAAAAACCTAACCCTAATTTGAAAGTTAACTTTCTTCTTAAAAAAAAATAAAAGAATAGCAAAAAAAACAAAAAACACCTAACCCTCATTTGAAAGTTAATTTTCTTATTAGAAAAAAATACTTTGTTATTCTTTTGTATACGTCCACCAACAAAGTTCAGCACTGAATTACTTATCAATAAGCTGGTAATGGCTGACGAAAGACCAGGAAAAATTCCGATTTTTTTCGGGTAGTTAACATCCAAAAAGGTAGGTTTCTTCAATATCTAATTGTTGATTTGAGTTCAGCATATACATTTGCCCGGAAATAAGACTATTTTGGAAAAATTTGAAAGGATATTAGCGCTCGGGTGTTAAAATAAAAACTTACCGTTTAAATTACGCAATAGTCTTTTTCCCTCTCTTTCACTCTCCGCTTGACTCTCTCAGCAATCGATCAACTGGATAAAATCCTCAGTGGGATTAATCCTGAGTGAAAAAGGTTATCCCAACGTAACAGTTTACCATCCCGCTACCACTTTCTTATCAATGTTGAATTTTATTCAGCTTCATACAGATTTTCAGGAAATATCAACTTCTAATTGGTCAATACACACAAGTGGGCGTTACAATCCACCCACGTACAAATATTTTTCCTGCGCGTGACCAAGTCAAATTTTCCCGCCAATTTTCTGCGATCCTGTCACGTGTTTACATCAGCTTGCTCTTTCTCTCTCTTCTATTCCCTTTTCCTGCGAAGATGTGACATTTAGGATTCTCGTCTCGATCATCGGTGGTCAGACGTAAAAGCATATTCACGCATGCACGTACGTACGTACATCACAAACATACGAAACATTTCCAAACAAGAACTTTTCTCTTTGAAATACTTTTCTAAAGCTACAGTTTATTCAGCATTTCTCAGCTTTATAATTCATTCAACTTTTGTGAGCTCAGATGAAAACATTGAATCAGTCAAAGGGACATAACGCAAAACCTCTACGCATGTATATCATCATAACACAAAAATAAATATAAATGTTGATGTTATAAAACCGTTTTTATTACTTCTTGCTGTTTCATATTTTGTGATATTTTACGTTAAATACAAATCGTGTGGTCATGTTAATAACAGACATATACAAATGGTTCATTCTTATTAACAGTCCACAGCAACAGAATATTTATATGCTGCTTTACATAAAATATGTCATGTAATAGGTTAGTCAATCTGTATCGGTGACAAGTACAAATTAAACTGACCCTCTACTATTTTTTACTAAAATCAAATGCAAGAAAGACAACAACAACAAGAGAAATTGGCAGATTTTTTGTTTTAACAAAAACTATTTTTATATTGTGGAATCTTCCACAACAAGTATTGTTAACCCCTGCTAGGAAATGCACTATTCCTGTTGTAATTTTCAACATCACAATCTTACAAAATATATAACAAGCATTCATTAGTTAATCACCTTCAAATCTAGCTTGCTGATTGGTCAGTTCCGATCAATCAAACCGCCTGCACGCGACAAATCTGTTTTCCCGCGTTTTCGTTCTGAGCCTTCCACGTGATACACGATCTTGTAAAAACAGAACACGTGTAAGCTCCCTCGTGTTTCTTTTCATTCATCTTTCTCCTTGCTGCCAAGATGTAATCTCCAAGAACTCCCGTCTTAACTTATGCAGTCAGACGTTAAAGACCATTACCAACATTCACGCAAGTACGAACTCTGAAATCTCTTCTGAACTTTTACCAACTTTACAACTCACAATTCCAAACATGCTAAAAGAACGTTATTCTTCTAAACTACAGTTTAATAATTATTTTCACTTTATGAGCTCAAATACAAATATTTCCAAATCTAAGAGACATAACTCTATCACACCTTCAGCTCTTATGCTTGTACACCAAACACTAATAAATTCAATTGTTATGTTTTGAAATCATTCCGTTCAGTTTTGTATTTTATACTATGTGCTGTTTACGTCAAATATAAATTGCATTGCGTCCACGCATTGTCCTTAATCCCACCTTTCCTAGCCAAAGTTAAATATTGGTAACACTGTCGCTACAATATAATAACAAGTACACACAAGTTGTTAAAACACTTTAGAATTCTTGGTTGTGTAATCAAGGGTAATATAAAAGGTGTTTCTGGTAAGAAATTAAACAGTTTATGTTGATGGTGAAATTGAATGAAATTGTGGCGGCCGCCTTTGGCCGCTCCCTAAAGCGGAAGAGAACAGGGCATTTCAACCTTTACCTTTCGATCGTGTTCCCTACACGCTGGTAATTTCGTTTTAGAGATTAGCTAATTACCTTTTACTTCATTGGTATTACGAACCTAGTCGTAATATACCTCTAAGCATTTTTTGCGTAGCAAATCTCAACCCATTTTTTATAGAGATTTTATAGCATTTTAGCGAGACCATTTCTGTTGTTAGTCTTAGCATAACACAGCGACTTCTCGCCGAATTCCTGGTTGGCACCTGAACGGTCGGTACGCAGGCTCCTTGCCTTTTGTGGCCAGGACGCTGACCAGGGCTGCGGATTAAGCTACGCTCCCATTTTCTTTTTTGTCTGCCAACTGGACGCGAGTTGGATCTATCTTTCTTTCTCTCTTTACCTATGGCTCCTTGCCCATGTTCGACTCTCGGCATTCCGTCCCTACTGGCTTCCCGCACGTCGTCTATAACCTTTCCCGTACACTACGTTTGTAATTATTACTGGAGGTTTCGATATCGGACTCGACCAGCAGGCACGCAACGCCAGCACCGGATATTCAATATGCCCAACAACATTGCAATGCCAGCTCCTCGTTCCTTCCCAACTCGTCCAGTTGGAAACCAGACCAGCAGCGACCACCTGCGACGACCAACAGCGATCATCTACGACGACCAGCAGCGACCACCTGCGATGACCAGCAGCGATCACCTGCGACGACCAACCAACCTTCCCCGTATACTATCGGTTGTAATTACTACGGAAGGTTTTCGACACGGACTTCGACCAGCAATGCCTGCACTGCAACGTCCAACCGTCCACACGACCGGAACGTCAGCACCTCGACTCCAACCGTCGACACGACCGGAACGTCTGCATCTCGACTCCAACCGTCGACACGACCGGAACGTCTGCACCTTGGCTCCAACCAACGACACGACCAGTCCGACCACCATCACCATAATTGGCAGACCAATATACCCCACTGTCTTTTCTTTATTTAATAAACTTAGCATTAATCATACATATCCTCGTTCTGTTGTCCATTTTGTTTCACCTTGTCAGATTTAACGTCTTCGATACGAAAAACGTTAGCGGGCCTCTTGTAACCTCATCACCTACGATACGGGGGCGCTCGGGTCGTGGTTTCATATCGTGCCGCTCTCCAGGGGGTCTGTTACAAAATAGATTGCGTGACTTACTGTAGAGTTGTCTCGCTTCGACTGATATAGTTACGATTTCCTTTATGTTGTTAAGATATTGAGTGAGTTGGTATCTGAATCATGTCTTAGTTGAATTCGTCACTATATGAGTTGATACTGAAAAAAAATTGAATTCCATAAGCCCAGTTGATGTTAATAAAAATTAACTTTTAGCGAGATAGTTGGGTTTCATTGATTCTTGTGACGAGATTTTAAGGACTTAAAATTGCAGAGTTGGGTGATAATTCAAAGAATTCATATCAGAAGATTTTAGTTAATAAGTTGATCAGGTTGCGTGAATGAAAAACTCTACAAACCTTTTAATTTGTTTTTCAGCCTGGCACAAGGTCAATACAACATTTGATAAAAATTGGCACTAAAGACTTCTTTCTTATATAAGTGGAAATATTAAATTTATGTATACAGAAATATACAAGCAAGTTGTGTTGCGATAAAATAATTAAAGGAAATGTCCTTTGAAAGGTCTTTGTATTTTCCTTTCCTTTTATTGTTTTTTGCTGATAGGACAAAGTTAACTATTTATGTTCTTAGAAATATCGTTCAAAATTGTTCGTATGACAGTAGATTAATTCAGGAACTGTATTTTGGTTGGAAATATTATAGTAATATTTTGGTTGGAAATATTATAGTAATATGAATTTTTGATTATTATTGATTTGTTCTTTTTCTTGTCAGTCAGCTTTAAATTCCAATGCTGTTCTTATTCAACAAATCAAGCCAGAATTATTATTTATTTGTTGGAAAAGTTATCTGCCTTTAACTGTTAATTTTACAGAGACGAATTAGAATAAATTCAAGATTGAATTCAACAATGGTTGAGGTT